CTAGTTCCATAGAAGTCAGAAATATTCGCTTATGCTTATTCCTACTCATACAGTTTAGGATATTATGTACAGCAGTTCTGCAGTCAGGGTTGATACCTCTTCAAAAGCTTTGATAATTGGAGGGCCGTTATTCTCATCACTACTTGTCCCTGCTGTTGCTGGCTTATCTGCTTTGGGCTGTCCCTTCCTTGCCTTCTTTGCTTTAATCCTTTACTAACCTTTTTATTGTGCTTTGCCATTTGCAAGTGTGTTACCACACATTTTGGTTTTGCTCGAGAACCCAACCTTAATGATTGTATTGATGTGTCGACATCGGCATCAGCTCAAAACTCTTTCACCGCTTCAGAATTGGCCGTTGATCCCGATCTCGATCAGATCGATGGATAATCCCTTCATGTCCGTTGCATCAATTAGCGTGTAAAATCCAGAGCAGGAAACAAATAAATTCGATAGACGGAGATTCAACATTCAGTGGGCCTATGGGTCCTTTCTCGTGCCAACGGTCGTGGGGCAGTGCAAATTCCTCACTACTCGATTCACCTACACCGTGTCCTCGCCAAAGATTCCTTTTCAATGCGTCGTGAATATGGCCAGTGAAGAATCTGTAATTCAACGGCGGTCGTGCCATAAAAGGGAATATGTTGTCCGCGCAGTTTGTGTTAATTGGCATCTTTCAAACAGTGTGCCAACTGCCTTTGACGCAAAAGTCACGAGTGCCAAGCGCCACCACTCAGTGCTCTGCGCTACCGGTGGCACCATCGCGTCGACCAGGAGGGTTGGGGCTTATTCATAGTATCTCGTCTCTACGTTGTATCTGCGTAAAGTACTAAAGTGCACCCGTAGCGCTCGGCTATATTTACGCCCTCATTGTCGGTCGATGCCGCGAGTCGGCAGAGATATTTGCTTCGTTACGTTCTTTAGAGTTGTGTTTTTTCCCGATTTTTTTGACAGTGGATTTGATTTTTTTTATTTTTGACCTATGGTTTGTCAGCGATGGCCTACGAGCGCTGAGCGGCACTGGCTGCTTCCAGACTTTAACTATTCACCGACGTGCGTCCCTCCGTCCGTCCGTCGCGTGCGTGCGAGGGGCGGCGGCGCTGGCCACTTGTTGACAACGCTCGACACCTATGGATCACGTGCCATTGTTGTCAAAAAGCGGCTAGTGCTGTCGTCGCTGCACGCACAAACGGACGGACTGACGCACGTCGGTTGAATCGTTGAAGTCTGAAAGCAGCCTTTCGCTAACGCAATAGCGTCACGAATATCAAAAAAAAANAAAAAAAAATGAGCGGAGTGCCCGAACTGAAGTTTCATTCTTGTTCGAGTGTAGCCGTGATTCATATAGATGTTCGTGGATCACATAGCACGAAAAAAATTAGTGACATCAACATCAATAATAAACACTATATTGAAAGGCAATGAAAAAGCTTTCTATGAAAAGCAAAATCGTCACTAGAGAGAACAGTTGATAAGCAATCAATGTGGCATCTGTAGTCAGTCAGTATGGAATCAGATATCCATCAATCACAGAGAAACGTAAGTTTTCCGGGAAAAATGTTGTGTTAGGAAAAATGTAGTACTGGTATTTGTGCTATCGGGCACTGTCAGACTTCTTCATCGACATGCGTTGATTCAAATGACGTGCGACCGGGTGAGAGCGTTGCTGTCCACACGTTGACAGCGCCGGACCGATTGAGTTCAGTCGGTATCGATCGGTGTGCAGCATTGTCAACGCATGGCCAACAACGTTGTCGGTCGGTTGAAACGACGCACGTCGTTGAAGTCTGAAAGCGCCCTTTTGCGTGCGGGCGGCGCCACCTGCATTGCGTAGTGGCGCTGCAGGACTGGCCAGCTTTTTAGTGTTCCGATGCAGGCGAGGTCGATGTATCAAAGTATCGATCATCGTCGATCACGATTAGCAAGGGATTTTCGTGCCTATGAAGTTCTTCTTTGAGACATCGACCACATTTGTGGTTATTCAGTGTTTGCAATAATATTCGCTGTACAGGTTGTTTGTTGATCCTGGTTAGGAGCGCGTTTTTTTTTTCGCAACTGGCCCATACTTTCACACAAACCTCTTGTAATTGATCGCTGTCTATCGCGTTTTGTTGTTTTTTCTGTTCGTCTGTTCTTTCTGTTTTACTTTCGTCGTTTTTGACGTTTTACAGCTATCGCTCTAACTGTTGAATTGCAGTTGTGATGAATTGAGCACGGTGTTCCGGTAGCGGCATGGTCTTTCGGTTCATGCGGAAACCGCGCAGCGGTTGCTTGAAGCTGCTCTATCTGGCCGCCTTCGTATGCGTGTTCTTGTTCGTTTCAAATCAGCTGAAAAACTCGCAGTCGCTGGCAAAAGCTATTGTGGCACCGTTCGAGAAGGTTAGTATGGATTTCTACGTTATAGTACAACTTGGGTTTCGGGTTTTTCTTCGCCATTTATCTTTCTTACCAGTTGAGCTACGCTCGCCAACAGGTGCACCACATGCCCACTAACGCTTACCTACGACTTGTCAGAGGAGCAATATAAACAGTATCGGTTGACTTCCCATTTCATAACTGTTCCTCACCGCGCTCACGCTACCTCTTCATCGTGCCCACGTGACTATTGGAAGGACGCACAAACCGACCCACAAACAGAGACCCAAAGTTACCGCTTTATATACAGGGAGACAGGACTGATGGTTTCTTTTTGGTTAACTTCGCTCTTATTTGCAGATGTGTTTTGTCTTCAATCTTTGCTGTTTGCTCTAGCGTCAAGAGAAACGAAGTCCGTTATAGGAACGAGCGTTGCATCCGCTTCCAGAAGAATCCAAGGAATATGGTAACCATGACCATGGCGGCGGAGCTCAAGCAGAAGGTGCACCCCTGCCCATAATAAAAAATGAAGACGGCGATGGCGTTGATCCTGATCGAGTTGATGGACCAGATGCGGTGTACGTCTTTTGTCTTTGTTTACTACCTTTGGAAAAGTTTTTGCCTTTGAAATTTGTATTATTTAGTGCTTATAAAGGAGAACAAGACCAGGAACAGATGCCTGCCATGGGTGCTGTAGCTGCAAATGACGTTTTTGGGAAGCAGTCACACAATGCCCGCCCTGATTCAGACGACGACTCCTATCCTCATCTCAATACGAATGGGAAATTCATCCCAAATCGTAGAATCGTTCATTTGGATCTCAAAGGAGGCGCTTTCAGGGTTCGCGCATTACCACTTTTGAAAAAAAGTTTTTTACTGAAAGCCTCTTTTTAGCCCGAATTCTTTACTGAAATTTTCTACTACTTGAATCGAATAAAGGCAACTGGTATTCTGATCGAGTGGGAGGACATGTTTCCGTATACCGGCAACTTATCTGTAGCTGTGAATGGCAATGCATACTCTATGGAAAACGTAAGTTTGATTTTTACAGTGTTAGAAAATAATGTTAGTTAAAAATATGGCGGACGTTCAGGTTGAGTATATATTGAAAGAAGCAAAGCGCCATCATTTGGAAGTTATTCCGCTTGTTCAAACATTTGGTCATTTGGAATGGATCTTGAAATTGGAGCAGTTTGCCCATTTGAGGGAGGATGTGCGCTTCCCTCAAGTATGGAAATTTCTTTTTTATATTTGGTTTTATATGCTCTTTCAGCACTTTATTATTCATCCCAATTCAATTTCATTCCAGGTAATATGCTTCCCTGAGCCAGAAGCGTGGAATTTAATAACGGATATGATTGATCAGGTTGCAGAAGTGCATAAGAAGCACGGAATGCCATATTTTCATATGGGAGCCGATGAAGCATTTCAAGTATGTTGTTCCTCCATTGTATCGTGTAAATGATTAGAGAAGTTCGATTTGAAGGCATTAAAATGAATGTTCCACCTATCTTCCACATCGCTGTTGCTGCAACTTTTTTCCTCAGAGCGGTGGATCGATTGTGGCATCCTGATAGCTCAGCGGTGAATTGGCAAATGCAACTTTTATGCGAAAATCATTTCAGATAGGTGTCTGCAATGCGAGTCTAGTAGAAATGGGACGGCAAGGGTCGAGAGATCGATTAATGCTTTGGCACATCTCTAGAGTTGCGAAGTACATCAAGGACAAATACTCCGTGAGTATCTCGTTTCATTCCCACTTTGCATTGATGTGAAATTCGAGGAAGGAGTAGTAAGCAATGTTGAACTCTCCAACTAAGTTTAGTTTTTGGATGGTGAGCTCTAATATCAACGGCTAAGAAGATTTAAATGTTGGCATAGGATTGCAAGGTGGATTTTGAGCGTATCTGTTGAAAATCCATAGATGAACTGAATATTGGACCAAAGTTTACAATTCACTTCCAAACACGGACTGGGACAAGTAGGGAATAGGGCTGCCTATTGTGATTGCATGGTAATTGTTAGGAACATAACGCAATGGTGTTGCCATTTATTATTACCGTTATTGTGTTAGGAGTCGTGACTCCCAGTTATAACAGCCAAACCACCTGCCTTTCCTTTTTTCGAAATACCCGGCTAACTCGGAGCCACCTTCTTCGAAATCACAGTGGTTCATCCTCTCTCTTCACAAAATTTCTGAATCGGTAACGGTAAAATTCACCCTTTTCAGACAACGGTGTTGGCATGGCACGATATGTTTGGGCATGCAATGGAATTCGATCTTACAGCATATCACATGACAGAAGTTTTGGAACCCGTGCTTTGGAGTTATGCAGAGGACCTGGACTTGTACTTGCCGAAAACCACGTGGCTGAGTTTGAAGGTCTGACATGCGTACTTATTTTGAAAGCCTAAATTTGTGCACCATCATCGTGAGCTATTGTTCAGACCCCGGATTTTGTATGAAGCTCAGGTTTTCAGCCATTTCGACGTGTATGGGGTAGCTCAGCATGGAAAGGAGCTGACGGCCCTGCAAGGTTCAACTCGAATCCTGTACACTACATCCGAAATCATGAGGCGTGGGTTGAGCAGCTGTCAAGGAATTACCATGAGTTCGATGTGCTACAGGTAATCGCCTGTTCGTATTTAGAATTGCATGGTATATTACGTTATCTTCTAATTACACTATTAAGGGTCTCATTATCGCTGGTTGGTCTCGTTATGATCATCTAGCCATTCTTTGTGAATTAGCTCCTGTAGCGTTCCCGACGCTTGCAATGTCGATGGAAACTATACTGGTAAGTCAAAAGTTTGAGTTTGCTTAAAGACAATTCGAACTTTTCCGGTTATTTCTGTTAATTGCGTGATATTTCCTGATTCTTTGTGTTTAGTGTAAAAGGATGTGGTAATGTATTGATCGCGTATAGCCATTCGTATTGTTTTCCTTATTAATCCGCCACTATGCCTCTCAGTACATTAGAGACAGATTTTTGAAAAAAAAGTCACTTTAGGTTGAACTTTAAGATGCTATCAACTATGATACCTTTTATTCAGGAGGGAAAACCTCTTCAAGGGAATTACCCTGTTTCACGTGAGATACTGCAGTGCACTCCTTCAACCACTATGGGAATCACGTATGGTTGCCAGTTTCCGGGTAGCAAAGTAAGGTTTTGATTGGTTTTTGTTACATTTATCGTTAAGAAGCTTTGCATGTCATTAGCGATTGTTCTTTCAGATCTATGAGTTGATCAATGAATTTTGGCAACGAAGGAAGCAGTTGCAACAGTATAGAGAAGATGATTTTGAACTTAACGGGTGGCTTTCTCGTGTAGCTGACTCATATATGAGTAGCAGTCAATGGTACATAGATGTGAGTTACATACTAGCGTTCTTATTTCGGTAATACAGTGTGGTTGAAGTTTTGAAGTAGAAATGAACCATTAGTTACTTTCTTGTTCGTACAATTGCAAAAGTATGTGGTGCCATTTGTAACGTCGAGATCCCAACTCTCGGTGAGTCGAAATGAGGTCCCCAAGCATAGGAAAAATTTTATCCCCGTTTCTGCTTGATGTTTCGCCTAGGTTATTAAACTGTTCTAATTCACAATGAACGAAACTGGGTTGTCACCATAGTATTATACCGGAATGCCCATTGCGACTAATCACAATGTTTTATTTCGTGCATATAATATTTGCTTAAAGATTATATTTAATACTTACTCCGATGTTTCTTTATACGTTCTGTTTTCAATCTTTCAGTAAGATTCATCTTTTTTCAGAAGATTGAGCCATTGCTTGAATATCATGCTAAGCCCATTCTACGGTTAGAGCAAGATCTACGAAACGAGCTTTTACGCATTTACTTTCAGGTATGGTTTTACAATACTTTTTTCATCGTGTTAAGAATATGAGTTTTTGTGCAGTAGATAGATGGAGAGCAATTTAGATGTTTGCTTGATTATAACGTTGGAATATTCCTTCCAGCTAGGGATTATGTTTTATGTTAATTTCGCGATGGACTTATTGCGCTTTTGTTCATGATTTTCTTGGCTACGTCTTCAAGTTGAGTTTGTTTAGGAAACTGTCGATGAATTCATTTTCACGTATATGGCAGAGGACATTGAATGGGTTCAACGTAAAATTGAGTCAGCCCAAAGAATCTCAAAACTTAATCACTTCCCAAAGCGGCCATTTGTACTTTTAAAGTCGCATGAGGAGCTGTGAATCCTGCTGCGCTGTTTTTTTTTTTGAATTTGTATTTTGGTTACTGTTATATGTGTTGACTTAATGCGCATTAGTTAATGATTGTCTTAGTTTTCCTGAAAGCGCAATTGTAAGAAAGTGTTTGGCGCAGTCGCAATTCACAAAGATTCGCTTACGACATTGAGTCAGGTTTGGGCAACTTTCATTGTGGTCTGTAATTTTGCCTTTCAATAACGGATATCTCAATAAGAGCAGTTTCTGATGACCCTTAATTTAGGGGGTGCTTTTCCATTGTTCTCATCACCATTGTTATCATCTTACAAGGAAATAATCTCTTCACTACTTACGTTGTTACGCGTTTCTTAGATAAGCCGGTGCTGTGTTAGTGCTATGTATAGGTTTACGAATCGATACTGAGTGTTTTCAGTATACGTTGCTGTGATATAATGCTCTTACATACTTACACAATTTGCCAAGTCGTTACGTTGTGCAGTTTTATATGTTCTGTTGTGTGCCAAAATGAAGCACTAAAACGCTATGAAGATGTTATTTTTCCATGATGGCTCTGAAGAGTTGTGAACAGATGGGTCTGAAGATATTGTCAGTCAGTTAGTCAGTGACTAAGGATTTTACAGGAATTGTAGAAGTATCAGTTTTGAAACAACAATGGTAGTATATATCAGTGCGTTGTGTAGAGGTTGCTAAGCTTGCATACTCCCGGGATTTGAAATATTTTTTTTACGAATTATCGTTCCATGAATAGGTTAAATCGTACATGCTTTCGCAATATTTGACTGACTGTAGCAGTTCGGATATGCCCACTAACGTCGAGAATCTGGCTATAGGCTGTGGTGTGAGTTGTGAGTTTATGCAAAAAGTTTGTAAGCGCACGGCTCTTCGTAGATGAGTCTCCTCCGTCTGATTTGTTGATCTATTCCTATTCTATTCTATTTTGAACAGATTTATGATGTTTTTAAGAAGCATTTTCCACTTGACTGCACGCCCCGCCTACTGTGGGAGGAGCTTGGCTAAGTTTACGCATGTCTATAGGACATTGTACACTATAGGGGTCTGGCCTCCACGCTTAAGATGGATCGAGTTATGAACTTATGTGGAACGTACCGCACACTGCAAGGAGGCTTCAGTGAACTTCGTAGCTTGTTCTCTCTCTCCTCGCACTGAAAAACGGAATTCCGCGCGCAAGGAACGATGGTCTAGAACCGGACAGTTCTATATGAGATACGTAATCAATGCTCATCCGTCAATGTTACCGAAATACAAATATGGAATCGTCGACTACGGTGATGATCCCCTATAACTATTCGTCGTCTCACCCTCTGAGACGACCCCCAACCGAATCCACGCCTCTTAATGGTGCGGCGTCGAGCGGACCCGAGATATGTGGGTCCGCACTCCTCTGCCTGCCTTATAAAGCATTATTTACCTGGTGTATCAATACAAGGCATTCAGAAGTCGAGGATAACCCCTCAGGGTAGCAATATACAATGGCGCAACTTCACCGCCATTGAGCTACCCAAATGTATTAACTGGACAGGTATTGATGACGAAAAGCATAGGCTCAAAGGCAGATGCAAATAGTAAAGCTTCCAAGGAATGTCAGATGCATACGATCAGCTGATCAATTTGGCTTGCCCTAATTGAAACTCTCGCTCCAATGATAAACACAGGAATCGTCAATGGAGCGCATTTTGCAACTGACCACGCGCAATTTCGCACAATCAAAAGTTCGCTCACCTATCCATCCCACCCACATCACGTAAACTATACACCTACCGACACATCACGTATGCAAAGCCTCGAGATAACGCTTTGAAGAAGGGCATGTGATGGGTTGGGTCTTATTGGGAAGTAATTACCCAATGCTTCCTGAGTAGTACGGCTAAGTTCGTAGTGGCTACCATTCAGGGGTTCTACTGACATGTTGCTCAACCCAAAGGACGCAAATGTTAAACTTTGGTAGATGGTTAGCCCATGAGCTGTCCGGGCGAGTAGGAGGACCGAAAATTTTTACAAAAGATGGATAAGCTGGGCGATCAGACTGGTACATCAATACTGCTGAGCGTGCACCTAGTAAACCGTCCGATGTTCCTGACACGCAAAGGTACCCATTTGTTAAATGGGGCTCATTTTTTTTGCATGTAGTTTACATTGTGAGGGAAGGCGATCCCAATGTCATGTTCAAGGGCAGTATTTAACGTAGACGTATGTTCGGGAATACGTGATACTTTGGCAGAATGACATTTCGGCCAAGTGGCTGTGATGCATGACTGGGCAGTGGTGGCGCGGTCGCCCGACGGGACACTCGGCCGCCTCCGTCTGTTCACTTTACTCGGGCGCTTTTTCATCATTTCCCCACTCGAATCTCGTGCCCACTCCTCTCACACCTTTATGCTATTGATTACGAGCCCCACGTTTAATCGTTGACCTTGTACACTTCTCAATCTCATTTCACTTCACCGACCTTCACTATTAACTCATTCCTCGGTCCATTGCCATGCTCAATTTCCAACAAAAAATTTTTTTCACAATTGCCATGGAGTCCGATTTTTTTTGTCAGTTTTTCAAACCTTCTCAACATACAATCCTTGAAATCAGCCCTAACATTTAAAGCGGGAACTCCTGATCCAAATTTCTTTGTCTGCCTTTTCATGAGAGGTTATTCGAGAAAAGTAGAAATCCGGATTTTTATAGCCAACCAGAAACTTTTGCAGTCTGCCATCATTTGATTGAGTAATAAAACTTTAATAGACATCGTTTAAGAGTTCACTTGTTTCGTGAAAAAATCGGAGCTCCAGGTAAACATTCTGCGACTTGGCTTGTTTACTTTTCTTTTTCTCTTCAGTTGTTAGATGAATAACGTTCCGAAAAGGTGGTGCTGCTTTCAAAACTTGTAAACTATTGTGTAAAATATTTTTTAGTTCAATAGTAGTTTAGCTCTGGCTAATCTGTGGTCAGTATAGCCCTGCTAAATTTCGAAGAACTCCACTAGTTGTATTTGTATAGCCAAGAAGACTTCATTCTATCATTGCTATCATTCGTCATTGGTTTCAATTGATTTCTAGCCGTAGTCAGGAGATTTAAGATTTTGTCTACTATTTTACTTTCGTTCTGGGCTGATTGGTCAACGTCTAATGAATTACAAAAAGAGAACAATGGACTTTTCTAGGAGATGGATGCCAATCAGCTATCGGCTTTGGATCAACACATTGCTCCGGGACTACGGTTATGGATGCTGATCGCTCTTGTATCAGGCGTAATGCTCATAATGAGTATGTGGAACTTTGTATCTTGCGATACTTACCAAACCACCATTGTTCTCTTGTTTTTCTTTTGTACTTATAAAATTTTCCTTATTTTGGCGAATTTCAGTAGTTTTGGTATGCTGCTTTATGCGTATAAGGATTCCACGAACGAAACGTCAAATTGATTTGATTGCAGCAAGACGGAAAATGAGAAACAAGAGTGCCAAAGCTGCTGCTTGTACGTTTCTAGAGTTCCTTATCTACTTTGGACATCATTGGGTCGTCAAGGAATGCCCGGCCAAAACTCAGTCACTTTTTATCCCTGTTTTTCTGAAATCATTGTTTTCTTCATTATATCCCTCCATAGTAATCAAGATTACGATATTTTTGATTTATTGGGGCCAAAATAGGAGAAAACATTGGAAACAAAGTTTCTCGAAGTCAATGTAATCTTTCTTTCAGCCGACGAACGTTCTCAAACAATTGTAATGAATTCTATGCGGCCAAAAGCCGGTACCCCTTCAAAGGCACCCACATCTCAGTTGGTAGCTCCGGTTGCTGAAGAACAACCACTGGTTCATAAAGGATCAAAACAACATACTGAGGTCTGAATCTTTCACTAAGTTCATCTGAGCCTTGTAAGTTTCTCTGTTGTTTAATGCTCATATTAGAAGTTTTCGGTGCCTAAATTTAGGAAATTCGCATGTATTATCATATTAACTAGTATAGTCTTACTCAAGTCGAAATAAGTAGGTATTTGTATTCTTCCTCACTACCTTGCTCTAGTTTTCTTACAAAGTTTTTGAATTGTTATTTTTCTATGTTGTTGGATTGTAAGCTAGGTTGCTGGCTGACCAGCTGGCTAGCTAATCAGTGAGTCTCTTCGACCATTTTTTGAAAGCTTTTTGCAATCACGAGTAGTCTTCTGATGCTTCATTTGGTGCTTTAAAAGTATTTCTACAGAGATCTCCGCTTCTGCTTTAGCATTTCCATGATCTAGTCATTTTAATAAACATTTTCTCATATGGTTTTGACTGTAGCTGATCTACGAGGTATATAACCCCATTTAGCCTACCTACATTACGTTTGAATTCTTATCAGAAGGATTATGATCAAGAACAAGATTCGAAATGTTCTGGAGGTAAAAATGATCATTGAGAGTGTATTATGATCGGATATGGACGAACGTAGTCGTTTCTTGGCGGATGCCGCAGCTCAGCGAAGAGAACGTGAACTCGGGCGAGTTCACGCCGAGATCGCTGTCAAATTACAGGCATTAGCAAGAGGCTGTCTAGCCAGACGAAAATTTGTGAATGAAATCCGGTAGGTTAATTTTTTTATGTCAGATATGAAAGCAGTAGTTATGCTACGATTGTTGCAACTGGTAAATCAGAAGTAAGAAAGTTTATTCGAACTGTTGAACTTGAGATATGCTAGACTGTTGGACAGTGCTGAGTTCTCCAGTTGAACTTCTACTACGCTGCATCCGTGTTTTGTGCCAAGTTATAGATTGAATTAGCTTTGAAACTGCTCAACAATTAGCCCAGACTTTCATGGGAACTAATTGCATATTTTATGCGAAGAAGCGTCTTCGTTCCATTTTGCACCCCCTAGTGATATGTAATGCGAGGTGCCGCGAGTGTTTTATCTTGATTTAGTAATTCCCCTGAGTAAAAATATTCATTTAACTGGAATATTTATATGAAGGCATTTGGCTGAGAGTTGCAATCGTTGGATGAGAACCACAACAGTTTTTTCGAACTTTCTGAATCCCTGATATTAAAAAGCTCAGTTCGACTATATCGGAGAAGCTGGCAGCGTTCACTGATCTTGAGAAATCGGGAAAGGAGTTACTTCCAAATGATGAAGTGCTGAAGTGGTCTCGTCTGCTTTTGCGTATCAAGCAGCTTCCTGATGATAATGAGGTATACCTTATTTCCAGCAGTTAGGAACATTTCAATGGACGATTATCAGTGAGGTTCAGATTTTATCCCTATTATGTCGGCACATAATTTTGTCGTTGGATTCGTCAGCTAAAGATACGAATTGGGCCACGATGTTCCTCAACAAATCAACGATTGTGGCTGCAAGTAAAGTTACCACTAACATCATCACCGTTATTCCCCAGTCGCTCATGTATATTTCGGTAAGGCTAGCACTTTTCTGAAACATGTCCTCGTTCACTTACAAAAAGTATTACACTACCTTACTCTAAGTGGTAGTTGTACATTCACACGACGAATTTTGCTTTGTATACTTTACCTGCCTAGAGCGCTAATTCTGACAACGGCTGAGCTTACAGAGAGTATAGTTCAATATAAATGAGGACTTCTTTTGAAATGTAGCTGCAGCTTGAGAGCAACCTGAAGCTCTCATCCATGAAGGGTCTTGGAGTGTGGAATACATTGCGGTACTCATTATGCGCCCACATTGCCAGACCATGTCTTATTGGTTCATGAAGGGTTGGAAAACTATGCAGGCCAATATTACTATCACTAGGGCAATGGGTCCAGGAAAAGTACGATTGTGTTTGAACTTGCCACTCTCTATTAAGATTATTTGCAGGGTGCTCGTGTTGCTGAAATCAAAATATGGCAAACTTTCGTTCATTTTCTTGTTGTACTAAGCTCAAGTAATGGTTGGCTCCTTGTTCGGAATGCTCCTCAGGTAGGAAAAATTGGTTATTCAATTTTTAACACATTTTGTTGTCTATTATTTCCTTACATTTCATATTGACAGCTTGAAGATGGAAAAAATTTTTGCAGGTGCAGAAGGTATTGAATGATCTGTGCAGCAAAATGTGCTCTTCCTTAGGAGAACATGCTAATTTCTCACGTCTCGCGGTATGAAAGTCATGCTTGTTCTTGTCGTTTTTTTTTGTTTGAATACAAAATTTCTTCAGAATTCCCTGTTCGTCGCATCGAATGAGCATAAACCGGTGTTAAGTGCCCAAGCGTTAAACGCTTTGTTTTCCATACTTATGAAATCCGTTAAAAACGACGAGACATTAGTACCGTTGTTCATCACTCAAGTCCTCACATGTCCTGCAATTATATTCCATGTGAATAAAGCGGTCAGTATGACTTATTNTTTATTGATTGATTGGTAATCTTCTGGCGTTAGATATGCCTTATTTTAGAATCTTGATGCATTACTCACGTCTGGTCTATTTGGACGATGTTTAACTCACATACGTAATTCATCGGACATTGTGGAAAGCATAGAGCCACAGAGAACCATTAACTTGCTCGGAAATGTGATCCATCTAGGCTATCTGGACGAAGAGGTACTATCTACGATTCTGTTGTCTTTCAAGCCATCTGAAAGTTTATTTGTTCAGACGGTCAAAGGTCGAATAGTTGATTGGACTTGGGTCATCGGATTGGCTATGGCACAGTGCACAGGTACTAGGGCTGCTTCATAAGAGGATATGGTTGTGCAAAAATTCTCCTATTTTTCAGAATTTGCCGTTCGTCCTGGTGAACAATCTAGTCATAATCATTGGCACCCAATATTCGGTCACTACAAGTTGCCCATTGATCCCAAGTAAGCATTTCATTGAGATGACCCCATTTTGACTTCAATCAAAGTTGTTATAGAACGGAGAGGTCTCTGCGTAATGTTCTACGGCAGCTGCAAATGTTGTGGAGTTACCGCATCGTTAGCAGACTTTTCGACAAAGCCCTCGAAGGAGTTGATCAGAGTCGCCCAAATGGTCACGTGCCGGTGAAAGATCTGGGAGCCACGTTTAACAGTCAGTTTATGTGGTACTTCGGCTTAAGTCACTCGCATTCTTTGGTGGACTATTACATATGACGCAGATACCTAAATTCCGATAGCATGAGGATTAAGTAGCAAAAGATAGCAAAAAAATTTGCCGAACTCTTTAGATTTTCGGTTTTCTTGTCATTAGAATTTCATCTATTCTAACTTCCTTGCTTATTATTTCCCGACTATTTACTCATAGAACTCTTATAAAACTGAACCTTGGAATTATATCTTATAATAGAACATTTAAAATTGTCCGTCAGCTGAAAGCTTTAGAAATGCTCAATTCAGAGAAACAACTTGTAAGGTAGTTTCACTCAAAATACTTCTCAATATTCATCTGCTTTTTCCCAGAGTTGTGGAAGAAGTTGGGAGGTGGGTCTTCGTCCGAGCCTATAGGAGAAGTGGAAAAGGAGACACCACCAACACTCGCAGCGGTTGTATGTCAGCTCTATATGACAGCCTTGTCAACTATGGGTAATATGAAGAACGAAATTATAGCAGGTGAGTCACTCCACTTTATTTTGCTCTGTACCTTGTGTTTCTTGTTTAGTGCTAACTCTTTTTTTTTTGTTGTTTAAACCCATTTTACCCTGGATTTAATATCCAGCTCCCAATAAGTTGGTTGATGATTTGTACTTGTTCTTCAACTATTTTGAAGACAAGTTTTCAGGAGTTTGCCGAGAAGACAGGATTCTGCGACAACTGTGGTCATATCTTGTTCGATGGGGTGGGGAAGGGAGATCATCTTCTCCTTCTACCTCGCCTCCACCGCTAACCGCTGCATTGGCATTGCTGGCTCGTCCTCAAAGTCCACATGCAGCTCCCTTAACATTGTTTGCAGATGCTGCTGCCATTGTGATATCGTGAGTTACCCAGATTTTCCTTCTATAGTCGTTCAGGAGTTAAGTGAATTGCCTCGGGCTTGGACGGAGGGGTGTGGTGGTAAGCGGCGCGCTATCCTACAGGCGTGGGTATCTAATTACGGACCGCCATATGTGTCCGCTTGGACCGGCCAGGTCGTCCACTCGGGGGTACATAATTGGTAATAGATTAGTAAGCTCTCACTTGTACATCGACTACGCAGCGCAAGTCAGTCTATAAGCTAACATGCTTTCAATACGATCACGTTTATTGAAGTACGGGGCCCCAGAGATGGGATAAGTTAACGCCAATGGATTATATCCTTTCTTCTCTGGCTTACTCAGAACTATGATGCAGTTCGAATGATCGTGGTGTTTTTTTNTTTTTTTCTGTGGAATTTTAATGGGAGGCATCAGTTGAGTTTTGACGCTTAAGTTTTCAATGACTCTTCTCATTTTCTGTCCTTCTCTAGAATATCCCATCAGGTTTTGCTTTCTCAAAAACACATTTTAAGAATTTTGGATGAGGAAGAGCTCTACGAACGTGCAGTACCATTTCCTCTAGATGAACTTGTACACATTGCTCGTTTTTGCAATTATTTCTGTTTCCGTGCTGTATGGAGCGGATACGTAGGTAGGTTTTTCGGTTAAGTCCATCGAAAAGATTGTCTTATTCTCTTCATTCTGCTCTATTTCAGACGATCGGAATTCTAATTACGGTTTATTTGCGAGTGTCCATACTCTTTGCATGGTCCTTCATGTTCGTGACAGCCGCCGCTCATTTGTCAATGATCCGAAATTCTGGCTGGCTCCGTAAGTTTGACTACGAAATTCAATTGGACCGTAGTTTCTTCCAGTTGTAATCTTACTGGAACTGTTTCAGTGACGTAAAGAGTTCGGTGCTAATGGGAGAGTTTGAGAAAAAGACATCAAGAGGCATACTTCTAATGCGTAAATTGAGCCATTTGATTTCACTCAAGGAGAGGATGCTGTTATTTAGGAAATTCGTCAGCGCAGATAAGGTATATCATTTGAACTATGTGTGACCGAAGCAAGAATTTGTCTGATAGTCATTTCTCCTTTTTGACGTTTCACTTGAAATTCTCGACGGCTGTCGGTTCATAGCATTTTAGGGATCAGCTCCGTACTTCTTTCATTGGATAAATAGCGTAATTTTTGCGAGCTATTCCTTGAAGTTAATTTTCTGCAGTCGAGCATCGAATCGTCAGCTACTCTCATCACAGTCGCGCGAAATCGACTTGTTGAAGACGGTTACAGGCAGCTGTCAATGTTATCAACAAGAGCACTCAAGTCTACAATACGAGTGAAGTTCGTGAATCAACAGGTGCTTTCTCAAGGTTTATTCTACATGTTTATTTTGTCAGCTAGAACAAAGTTTTTCCAGGGTCTCGATGAGGCCGGTATAGACCAGGATGGAGTGTTCAAGGAGTTCCTTGAACTGACTATCAAGCAAGTGTTCGATCCTGCCTTAAACTTGTTCCATGTAAGTTTATTAAAGTTTATACAGTTTAGAAATCATTAAGGGAATGATTACAGAGTACTGCCGCCGGAGTGCTATATCCATCTCCGACCTCAAGTGTACATGAAGATCATTTGGCTCTATTCCAATTCGTGGGCAGAATTCTGGCCAAGGCAGTGTATGAGGGTATTGTGGTTGATGTTCAGCTAGCACCAGTTCTTCTTGCCGCGGTACGATATTTTAAGAATGTTTCTAATAAGTTTTGTGCTCTTTCCATACGGAGTAATGGTGTGTCGAGAAAGAAGTTTTCCTTGTTTCTCTTCAGGAAAGAACTGGAATGGATAAGGTCAGCTTTACTTGCATATCCATGTTGTTTTAGATGCTTGGAGGGCGTCGTCTTTGTGCCTTTGATGAACTATCTCAGTTGGATCCCGAACTTTATCGTAACCTTACTTTCGTGAAGAAGTACGACGGTGACGTTAGCGATCTCTCCTTAACATTTTCTATCGATGAAGATTTTATGGGAAAGGTAATGCCTCGCTATAACTGAAGCATAATTCTATTTTCGATTGTTCAGATAAACACTGTCGATCTGGTTCCTGGCGGTAGGACGATTCAAGTCACAAATGAGAACAAGTAGGGCTGCTTATATTAATCATTTAAAATGTTAAATAGAGGAGTTTACCAGTCGGTAGATGAGGTCTGTGTGAGGAAATGAGAAACGCTGATTTTGAGTTTAGTTCTAGCTCAAACTAAGAAAATAGTATATTGATAACATTGTTCGCGCTTATATCCCAGAAAGTGGCGCTATTGGATGGCTTTCATTTCCCGATTTGGGCTAGATGGGCGTTAAATCTCAGAGAATTTCAACTATGAGCTCATGTTTTTACTTGCTTTTGGTCAACGACGTATTATATTGAAATGTGTAGTTCATACATAAGATGAGCAAGTGCTGTATGTTATCCATCATTCCAGAATCGACTATGTGCATCGGATGGCTCATCATCGTGTGTTCTCACAGACAAAGCAGCAGTGTCGAGCGTTTGTTTCTGGTGCGCAGTCGGTTCTGAACCCCGCATGGCTCTTTCTCTTTGCTCCATATGAACTTCAATTCATAATAAGTGGATACTCTAGGTGAGCGAATTCTTCATTATGTATCCCTAGTAGCTCTAAGAACATGAATTACCAGAGAGAATTTCATTTGTTGGAGACTTATTCTTGAAAACAGTAAACGGACCGTAATCGCAGATCGAACTGATCCCGAATTCTCCTGCTTTCTGAAGTGATGCATTTGTGTTTCCGAAAGTGGTTTTTTGGGCTCACATCAGAATCAACCGTTGCAGTGATATCGACCTTGTGGATCTTAAAAAACATGTACAATATTATGGCGGATTTCACGGAAGCCATCGACTTATTAAGTGGTTGTGGGAGATTGTGGAAAAAGATTTTACTGCCGAAGAACGAAGACTTTTCCTCAAGGTAAAAAAGCGTTGACATTTGATTTGTTGATTATTTCTATTTCTATCTATTTTTGTTAAGTTTGTTACAAGTTGCTCACGTCCTCCTCTGCTCGGCTTTTCCTACCTCGAGCCTCCATTTTCAATACGATGTGTGGAAGTATCAGACGACCAGGTAAGCATACAACACCGCATTAGGATTGAGATTAGTGTAAATTGTTCGCCAATTGTTACCCGAAATAGTCTCGACCATCGTAGTGGGTTCAATAAAATGGCGACCTTTGCAAAATCTCCTCAATTCAGCATCATGTAGCTTCCTGTGACTGTACTCTTACGAATATTCTTTTTTTTTCGATGGAATTACGCTTATATCAATACGATGATGTTTTAGGATCAGGGCGACACATTAGGAAGCGTTGTACGTGGATTCCTAGCGCTGAAGAAGAGTCAGTCATCATCGCGTCTGCCGACTGGTTCGTACTTTCTGCATCACCTCTTCAGACGAGCCTAGCCTTGTTTTCTATTTTTCCTAATTGTGGACTATTATTTTAAAATTAAGTGATAGGCACCACCAACTCTATTTGTTTGGGTAGCCGAGAAAGTACAGTCTTTGATACATCTCCAGAAGTTCACCTTTGTCATGTCTTTCGACTAGCATTCTTGAATGAACCTGCAGCAGTTAACCTTGAGAGCGAGTGCGTTCATCGTGAATGATCGATTTACATTCACATCCAAGAGATGACTACCTTTAGAATGGTCCTATAAAGAAAATGAAATCCACTCTGTGAAATTGTACAGTTTTTATTTTTTTAATGGTACCAGTTAAGCACATGAGTAATCAAGTACTGAAGTTAATTGGTTCCAAATTTCAAAATTTTTGAATACATGGTTGATTATGCAAACGGCGCAGTTAAAAGGAACTTTTCTAAATTTCCTTTTCGTGGTCGTTGTGCTCTCCATACACTGTTCAACTGGTCGGGGTAGTACTTTTCAGTTGAGCGTAACTTTCAACTGTTTCAGCCTCGACTTGCTTTAATCTGTTGAAATTGCCGAACTACAACAAGAAATCAGTCCTCCTGTCGAAACTCCGCTACGCAATTCATTCAGAAACCGGTTTTGAACTTAGCTAAGTCGCATTTGCTTGAGATTGCGGAGCTTATAAATGTATATACAAATTCGTATTTATTGTAATTCTTAGAGAT